AAAAAAAAAAAAAGAAGACCGCCGTCACACATTGTTACGCGGCGTACAGCTCGGGGTCAATATCGGCGGGAATCGGCTTGATCTCCGTGTCGAGCTCCTGCTCGATGCGATAGACGTTGTAGCGGTCCTCGTACGTCACGAAGTTGATCGCGAGCCCCAAGTGGCCGAAGCGACCGGAGCGGCCAATGCGGTGCAGGTACGTCTCCGCGTACTTGGGAAAGTCAAAGTTGATCACGACATTCACAGCCTGGATGTCGATACCGCGCGTGATGAGGTCGGAGCAGACAAGGTTGCGGCAGTGGCCCTCGCGGAAGTCGTGGAAGACGCGGTTGCGGTGCTGCTGCTGCATGCGAGCGTGGATATAGTAGCAGCTATAGCCGAGCTGTGTGATCTTCTTCGCCAGAAGCTCCACCCGGTTAACGCTATTGCAGAAGATGATGGATTGGTTGATCTGGAGGCGGTTGAAGAGCGTGTTAAGGCAGTGGATCTTCTGGCGCTCCTCCACAAAGGCGTAGTACTGTGTCACGCCACGCAGCGTGAGCTCCTCCATGAGGTTGATCTCGTACGGGTTGCGCAGGTAGCGGTCGGCGAACTCCTTCACTGTCACGGGGAACGTCGCGGAGAAGAGCAGCGACTGGCGGTCCGACGGGAGGTAAGTGTAGAGCTCCTCCATGAGCTCCGTGAACTCCTGCGAGAGCAGCTTGTCCGCCTCGTCGAGGACGATGATGCGGCAGCGGTCGAGCTTCGCCGTGCGCTTGCTCGCGAGGTCCACAACGCGGCCAGGGGTCGCCACAAGCACGTGTACCGGATGCTGCAGCCGCAGAATGTCATCGCGCAGCGTCGTCCCGCCCGTCGTGACCATCACCTCGAGGCCGGCGATGTGCTTGCCCAGCTCCTTCGTCACCTGCGCCGTCTGCAGCGCCAGCTCGCGCGTCGGCACCATGAGGAGCGCCTGCACGTGCGACTCACGCGTGTCCACCTTCTCCAGTACAGGAATGACGAACGAGGCCGTCTTCCCTGTGCCGTTCTTGGCACGCGCTAGCACATCCTTGCCCTGCAGCGCGACGGGAATCGCCTCCTCCTGCACGGGGCTCGGCCGCTCGAAGCCCTTCTCGAAGATGCCCATCTGCAGCTCACGGCGTAGGCCGTACTCCTCAAAGGTCACGTTGCGGCGCGATTCGACATCCTCCGTCTTCTTGCGCGTGTCCTTCTTGGGCGCAACAAGGTTCTTCTTCCAATCTTCCTCAGAGGTCATCACAAACTTTCTTCTCTTTTTGGTTGTTTGTGAGGGTGTGTGTATGTGTGTTGTTGTTGTTCTTCTTGTTCGTAGCTATAGCTCTTTTCGTTCTTTGTGATGCTGTGGTGTAGATCTCTCTTGCTTGCTCCTTCTCTCACCTGAAGGTGTTCGTAGTGCTGGCGAAGCGGAAAGGCAAGGACGAAAANGAAGGATAAAAAAAAAAAAAAAAACATGGAAGAAGCCGACGCAACGCTTTAAATCAACAGCTCTATGTGCATCTTGATTTTATTTATTTATTATTCTCTCTTCTTAAAAGGGAGAACTCGGCATTGTCTCCTTTAGGGACATCTGCGACAAATACTCTCATTTTGTGTGCGTGTGTGTGTGTGTGCCGTACCCTGGGCTTTTCTCCTTTCCCTCCCCGGTGCCCAGCCACCGCTCCGCTCATAGGCCTCAGCCTCCCCCGCTCACTCCCCGCGGCCGCGTCTGACGACGCCCGGTCTGCCACGGC